GCAATCCCCAGCGCTTCCCGGGACCCTCCCCGTGGAACCGGCTGCTCCCGGTGTCACCGCGTCCCAAACGGGGGTTCCCGTTTCCCAAGCGGGAGCCGCTGCTCCGCGTTTTCCCGCTGCCGGATTTCACGTTGTTGTTCCAGGAGGAGCCGCATTCCTCAAAACGGGCAGCTAGGAACGGGCGGACAATCCGGGTTAGCTCCCAACGCGGGATTCCGCTTTTCTTTGGAATTACCACGGCATCCCATGTGTTGAAGCACATTCCCTATCTCCACGCGCTCATATATGGAATTGGGAATGATGCTCTCCCACCTGCGGATATCCCTAAATGTAAGGAAAATCCGCTGGAGATTCCCTTCCGTGGGCCTCGAAGGGAAAAGGGGGTGCCCGGAGAGCGCACATTCCCGTTTTTCCTGGGAAACAGTGGAAAGGAAACCCTGGACGCCGCCGTGTCCCGTGTGGATTTAATGCTTTGCCGGATCCTTGCTTTTCCCATGGAATTCCATGGAGGGAAGGGAGGCACCTGCTGTCCGGATCCTCACGGGCCTCAACATTCCCGCCTGCTCCGTGCAAGGAAAGAGCCTGCGGAATTATCCGGAGGACGGGAATCATCTGGGAATGCCGCTGCTTGGATCCCCCGTTTCCGGGGTGGCTCCCTGGAATGTCCGGCCTCTTCCCGCCGGAAGAGGAGCCGGATCCGCGTCCCGCTCCTCACCGCGCGCCGCGGGATGCGACGGGAATGAACGCCGGGATGCGCCGGGAAAAGCGGGAAGCGGGTCCCGATCCGGGGCCGTTTCGCGCCCGAAAGCGGGAGCCGGCGGAGGGGGAGCCCCTCGAGCCGCATCCGGAGCCGGCCCGGGAGCCGGAATATCCATCGTGGCTGCGGGAAAAGCTCCCGGATCCGGCGCCTGGAAAAAGCAGGGGGCGTTTCGGCTAATTCCGGACAACGGGATCTCCGGAGCGTTTCGCTGCGGAAAACCTGGCCCTTTCCAAGGCCGTTTCATCCCAAGGAATGGTAGCCGGCCCCTTCCAATGGGATGCTCCGGGCTCCGACCTGTTTCCCGGTAGGATGGTCCTTGCGCGTCTCCTTTTCCTTCTGGAATTGCCCCCAGCCCTTAGTTACCAAAAAAACGGGAAGAAAAAGGGCATTGCCTCTAAACGGGCTGGAAATCGCTGTTGGGATGGAGCCAACCCTTCCGGATCCGCTCCGGGCAGCCGGGGCCTCCGAGACCCACGGAATTCCCTCCCCGACGCGCCGGATAACGGAAAAGCCGGCCGGTATCCGCGGATTCGGATCCGCTTCTCCTCCCGCTCCGCTCCCATTGTATCCCTCCTCCTCCCGCTGTGGGAATGCGGGTCTGGAAGTGATTTGGAGCAGAGCGCTCCGAGGGCCTGGGGGAGGGGAGGGCCCCGTTTTGGGGCGATTCCTGCCGTTTTCGGGCCTTTCCGCGGGAGCGCCGAGGAGGAGCCGGAATTCCGGCTTTCTTCCCGCTTCCTGGCCCTTTCCCAGCGCTCCCGGTGCAGGAGCGGCAGCTTTTTCTGGGATTCTCCGTCTGCGGAAACGGGGGAAAAAATGCTTCCAACTTCTGGCATGTGCCGAAGAATTCCCTTGGAAAAGGGAATAACGATCCAAACCGCCTGCTTAAAAGCGCCTTTTTTGGGGCTTTTTTTCCTCAAGAATCCTTCCCAAAAGAGCCTGGAAACCCCTTTTCCCTCCCCGTGTATCCGGGATGGGGAAGCGGATCGTTCCAGCGCCTTGGAATTCCTTCGGAGGAGGTTTCCCGTGAAACGTCGCCGGCGGCGCCTCCCGTTTCGTTCCTTGGCAATTCCTGGGATCGGAGCTCCTGGAATCCGCTCAAAAATGCGGCCGTCGGCCCTGACGTCACCGGAGACGTGGGTTTTCCCTCGTCCCTTCCCGCTGGATCCGAAGGAAACCGGCCCTCCGCTCGCCACGGAAATCGGGAACTCGAATTCCTGGTGGCTGGAATTATGGAATTACCGTAATCCCCGGGATGGGGATAGCGTTGCCATTCCCAACGCAGGAGGAATTTGAGGCCAATTTTGCACAAAACGGCCCTTTAACGCCTCGTTTTTCCATGGAATTTTTCACCTAACGCAGTCGCTTTTGGGATTCCTTTTGGGAAAACGAATTCGTTTTGGGAAAACGATGCCAAAGGGGATTTTAATTATTATTATCGTTCCACGCCGGAGTGTTTAATTCCTGAAGATCCCGGATTTACCTGCGCATTCCCGGCTGTTTGCTGAAGGAAGATGGGGAAATATATCCCGCATCCGCATCCCGGTATCCCTGCTATCCAAGGGAAGGGCTGGAGCTTTCCGGAGGTTTTTGGGGTGTTTTTTGGGATTGTTCCCGGCTCTTTGTCCCATCCCGGAGCTGGCGCCGAGGAAGAGGCCGCGATCCCGGTGCCGGGAAGGGTTAATCCGAGGAAAAACAAAGGGCTCTTCCTGGGAGGCTCCGGGAAACAGGGAATTGGATTTTCCCATTTCCTCGGCGACGACGGGATGGGGAGACACGTGCGGCTTCGGAGGCCGGGAATGCCGCCGGGAGCCGCAATTCCCGGGATTGCGGATTCCCGACCTCGCCATCTCCCTTCTTCCTCCCGGCGGCTCCTTGGATGTCGGCTCCCAATTCCAAACACTTTTCCCTGCTCGAGGGGACTCCAATCCCGGCTTGGATCGTGGAAAAAACACACGGGATTCAGGAATTATTGGAGAAGGGTGGAATTTCTCCGGGAATCCGCCGCTTGAATCCCGCAAAAGCCAACGCGTTGCAATGGAGATGCCCTGGATTCCCGCAGGATTCCCGCAGCTCCCTCCGCGCATCCCCATGGAAAAGGATCATTTGGGGCTTCCTTGGCGGGAAAAAGAGCCAAAAACGGATAAAAAGAGACAACGGATAAAGGGATAATAGGGAAATCCGAGGATCCGCTCGCTGCTCTCCTGCTTTTCCACAGGATTTGGGAGCGATGCGGTCGCATCCTATGGGTGACACCAGGATAATCCGTGCGTTACGGATGCTGCGGGAGAAGGGGAAACCGCTCGGATTCCCCCGGATTCCGGAGCGTTTCCCTGCTTTCCAAGAGCAGCCCGGGAAGCAAAGTTAGGTGATTCCCTTTGGAATTGTGGCCGTTCCGGCCGCGCGGAAGATCCGCAGGGAGGCCAGGCGCTGCCATGGAATAATTCCATCGGGAAAGCCGGCCGGCAAGGAGCATCCCGGCTTGGAGCGGCGCTTCCAACAGCGTCCAAAGGGCCCGGGGACCCCTTTTTTCCTGGCTTTTCCCCCTTTTTCCTCGCTTTTTCCCCCTTTTTCCTCGCTTTTCCCCCCTTTTCCTCGCTTTTCCCCTCTTTTTCCTCATTTTTCCCCTCTTTTTCCTCTCTTTTCCCCTCTTTTTCCTTGCTTTTCCCCCTTTTTCCTCGCTTTTCCCCCTTTTTCCTCGCTTTTCCCCCTTTTTCCTCGCTTTTCCCCCTTTTTCCTCGCTTTTCCCCCTTTTTCCTCGCTTTTCCCCCTTTTTCCTCGCTTTTCCCCCTTTTTCCTCGCTTTTCCCCCTTTTTCCTCGCTTTTCCCCCTTTTTCCTCGCTTTTCCCCCTTTTTCCTCGCTTTTCCCCCTTTTTCCTCGCTTTTCCCCCTTTTTCCTCGCTTTTCCCCCTTTTTCCTCGCTTTTCCCCTCTTTTTCCTCATTTTTCCCCTCTTTTTCCTCTCTTTTCCCCTCTTTTTCCTTGCTTTTCCCCCTTTTTCCTCGCTTTTCCCCCTTTTTCCTTGCTTTTCCCCTCTTTTTCCTCGCTTTTCCCCCCTTTTTCCTTGGAATGGGAGCGAGGCCGCGCTGCCGTGTCCCGGCATTCCCGCTCTCCTGCGGGGAAGCGCTCGGCTCCGGAGCCGGATTCCGCTCGCCCGGAGCGGGGCCGGGCTCTTCCTCCCGGATCCCTGGGAATCCGCGCACCGCTCCCGGCTCCATCCCGGCGGGAAAACACCGGGAAAAGGCCCCAAAAGCAGCGGCTGGAGCCGCGGCCAGCCCAGGGCCTCGGCGGC